GGCTGTAAACTGCCCTCATTCCGCATTCAGAAATCCCAATGCATCAAAACCGAGTACACGGATCAGTGTTACTTAAAAGCTTTTTGTTTGCTATTACAGGCATTTCTTCTATTGAGCTAAACTGGGGAAAAAAAGTGAAATCTAATGGTTTTCAACCAGCACTTATGGATTTGCAAACATGGGACTTTCAAGTCATGCAGGAGAACATGCAGATGTTCTCCTTAAATGTATGTGTTGCAGAGCCTTGAAAACAAGTATGATGATTTTGGTTGAGAATGTTTGGTTTGCGGGTTAAATCCTTGTCCATGCATTCTCTTTTCTGCATGCAGAAACCTATTTTAGCATGTGTTTATAAAATGTGAAATCCTTCCTAGGCTCCAGAGAGCCAGAAGTACCTTCCTTTGCAGAGCATGGAAAGCAGCAGCACGCACCCCTCCACACCAGCGCCCATCTCTGCGTGTGGAAACGCCACCACCTGCACAGGGCTGTGAGCACCTCTTCTCTCAGACCCTGACCTCTCCACCACGGCCACCTCTGCACTGGCAACCTGTCTGGGAGGCTCTCGGGGAGGGACTGGGTGCAGAGCACCTGACAGCCATGGGACAGGAGGGCCTGAGCCAGGCTGTGCATGTGACCCAGCACAAAACGCGCTGCAGCTCCTGCTAATCCCCTGAGCCTCCCTCCCAGTTGTTCACCACACGCTGCTGCCCAGCTCATCCTCACCAGAGCCAAGGTGACGGTTCCACGCACGGACTGAAATGAAGGGCTCTCCTGCACTCTGTGTCCACACCTGTTCTCCCATGGACACTCCAACTTTCCTCAACAGATCGCGCCTCAAACCCTTTTCTTTATTTGGGGAGGGTGCTTATGGAGGTATTGCTCAGAAACCAACAAGCCTCGCCCACACCAGAGCCAGCTTGGAATGAATGCTGCTTGTTTTACGGACAACTTAAATTTTTCCACTTACAAATTTTCTCAGGCTTTAGGATTCTGGGTTGATATTCTTAACTTTTCAAAGACGACTTCTGCAAATGTTGTATTTCCAGCAAAACCATGTATTTTTCTGTTCAAAACAAATGGGAACCTTGCTTGGTTTCTACTGAGTAAAAAGCCCTGTGTAACTTACTATATTTCAAAAATTTGTAGACCAGGGTCAAAGAAGGGCTTTTAAGTTCAGGCTAACAACTGCTACCTATAATCATAATTTCATTTGATATGTGTACAAGTCCTGGGTTGTGGGGAGGAAATGCTCTTCCAAAACACTGAAAGCATCACAATAGGGATGTATTCTATCTGCCAGAGCCCGATGACATAAGGTGTGTAAGAGGTACCCTTCACTGGGGAGCCAAGGAGCAGCAATAAAGGCTCTGGTGTCATACTCCTCAGAAGGAAACAAATTCCATTGGATTCTGCACTGACCAGCTCCAGGAGCTGACTGTGCCCCAAACCTGTGCTCTCTCATTCCACTGCTCCTTCTTCATGGTTTTAGAGTTTGTCCAAAGCCACAACAGATAATGTCAGCAGAAAATGCCCTCCAGGAGCATAGAAAATGTAGAGGCAGATCCATATAATCAAAAGAACTATAGATTGTATAATATGCATTTAGCCCCTCTGTGTACATTACCATGCATATTTATTCTATTTTTCCGCTGTTACCACAAACAAGAACAACTAATGTCAGGGTCCAACCCAATGAAGTTTAATCTCACATTCTACTTTTCATACACAAACAGAAATTAGTTGGTCAAGGGAAAAAAAATAATGACCAGACAAGTTCTTTAGCAGTATCTAAGCACTATTAAAAACGTAGATGTAAACACTGAGAAGAAACACAGCATTTTTCAAGGCTGGTTGCAAATAGACTGTAGCTAATTTTGAAAAATTGCATCTAAAATTATATACCATATTAAATAAAGAAATACAAGGGCTCTGATAGTAATGACTGTCACACTACATGAAACTGACAACAAAGGTAAAGATTTACAGTTTCTGGGCAGTTTTGTTTGTTTGTTTTTTTTAATGCCAATTCACAAAGCAAGTATGGAGCATGAAAATCCTAAACCTTCAACAATCATTTTTAGTACACGATTAAGAGTCATGTTCTATTCATATACAATTACATAAATTAGATACGGAATTTTAAGGGACAATGATGATGATTCTGTTAGCTGTTTTCATATTCTTGACTTAAAGTATCTTGACTTTCTTATCTCCAAGGGAAAAAAATTAATGAAATTTCATACCACAAAGTAATAAACTGTTTATATCATGGTTTTAAATTCCATCTTCAAATTAAATGAGTTGAAGAGCGGGATACTCCAAACAAACCACACTCTAAATCCTTCTACATAGTCATGAAAAGTTTTACATCCCAAACAATCATCGACAAATTCATGGAATACAATGTCACGCTTAGAATATAGCAGGGAGAAAAAAAAATGAAACTTTTTTGCAGTTCTTTGCAATAACAGATACAGACGAGTGTCAGCAGAGTAACTCTGAATTATTCACATATATATGTGAATTATTCAATAGGGGGCCACAGAAAGTAGACATGAGGAAGATTTCTTTCAGCTCTCTCATCACTGGGACTGCTCTTTGTGTAGATAGGGAGATGATGCTGGACAGCCCAACTCCCCTGCAACCTGTGGAGCAGCAGAAGAGGCAGCAGAGGAAAGGAAAGCTCCTAACATGCAGAAAACTTCTTCAATCCTGCAGCAGGAGGAGCTACTTCTTCCAAAACTGCTTTTATATCAGGCCCAATAGAGTCAACACAGCACATATATGAATTCACAGTTCTGTCCAGGAGTCTCAGCAGCTTTTCCCAACTCACCAAGCGAGCATGTGCTTGCTAACAGCAAAGTTTCAGATAATTGTTGTTACTTCAGTTAGTCTTTATACCCTAAATACTAGAAAAGTGTTTTGCAATAACTAGTTAAAACTAACGTCCTTGCATACACAGAATTCCCTCCAATTCCCCATTTTATCGTATAAGGAATGCAGGATCAGCTCTTGAAAGTTCTTCTTTGCCAGAGTCTTGAAAATCCTTTTAAGTGGAACAAATAGGATCTAAAAGGAGACATCTATCTCCCCCTACCTGCAGAGCCCTTTATCCTCCTGCCCCAGGGAATGACATTCATGGAACTACTTCATTCTCAAAGATGAAATAAACTGAAATCTTACAACCTGCCATAGCCATAGTACATCAAACTGTTGGGACTGGAAGTGTTTGAACCCCTCAACAAAGCCTGTTACTAAACTGCCATATTTAGCCAAGAGGTTTTTAAAAACAATTTGCACATTATCTTTCTATACTGGTTAAGAAATGACTGATCTGCTTTAACTGACTGTGTCCCAATGATGGACTATCTGACCAACAGCACCCATCAAGAAACCATGCATAGAAGTCTATGTACAAGCCTCTAACTTTTTACTCTCTCAAGGGAAGAAGCATGAGGTAATAACAAGGTAATAACACACAGATTTTTCTTTTTCGTCAAGATCCCTGAGAGCCTTTGTAGATTTGTCTCATTCTGTGGAGGCAGAAATGCTAAATACACAACAAAACCAAAGCTTAAGTCTTCACTACTCATCCTTCCTTGAAAATTGACTTTTACTGCTGTAAGAAATAGTATCTTATTATCACAAATTCATTAGAGCTGTGTCATCATATCTGGCTAGCACCTCTCTAAGAAAGTTCAGGTTTGGTTTTGAATGGGAAAAAAAAAGCCTATAGAAAAGTAGGGCTGCCTGAGAGAATTCCTGATACTTAAGGCTGACTTAAAAGCTTTTATTCCTTAACTTTAGCAATCACTCCTTCCATAGACAGGCCAAGCTCACTGTACGAGTTTAACTTCCAATTGGAAGGTGGAGGTTCATTTAGGCAACCCAAACTACAGGACAAACATTAACTTCTCATGCTCTGACTTTGTTCCTGGCTTCCCCTAAATGCTGGGCCCTCCACAGAGCTGGTGTATGTGCTCTGTGTTAAGGGGAGGGGACAGGAGAAAGGGGAAGACAGCTCACTGTACGTCAAAGCAAACCAGCAACCTAGCAACCATATATTAAAAGGTGTGTGTGTTTTTGTGGGTGTCTGTGTGCCAGGAATAACTGAAGCAGATATTATTCCATTTGTAATTCAAAAAATGTGAAAAGGGAAGGGGAGAAACTCCAGTTGCTGGTCTATTTTGGGGTCTGTCAAAATCCACTTTCACAACACAGAGTGGTAACACTTTGGATCTCATTTTTCGTAATCAAAAACGAAAGTCTGGACTTGAGCAAGTTCTTAGCTTCGGTTTGAAAATAGACCCTTCAAAGCAGAAACTGAACTTATTTCACATACTATGCTTTCTTCTATTTCTTGCTGGAAATATGCAAAAAGCAAAAGGGCAGAAAGGCTGCCTCAAAGACTTCACACTTAGGTTAAGAGAACACTTACAAATGTACAGAATACTTTTAGATAGATACACTTAATTTACCAGAAACAGAAATGTCAAAGATTCCCAGGGAATGGAACTAGCTTCATAAAGATTCACTTGAGTGAGAAATTGACCCTTTCAATTTTGCCAAGGTTTCTCATTCCACAAGGCAACTGAGAGCTTAGATCAGGACATGCAAGCTCCCACACCACGGCATGCGGCCCCAAGGGTGCACACAAACTTCAGATCTGCCCCGTCCCACCAGAGCAGCGTGTCCCTCTCGGACAGGCTGAGTGTCGCACAGCAGGTGTAACTTTCGTGCCACCAGGGGAAAACGAGAAGGGGGAGCGGGGAGGCGCCTCGGGACTGCACCCACCACCTCACCCTCCAGCTACACTGCCCACGCTGCAGCTCCCAGCAGCCCCGAGCCGAGAGCAGCCAGCACAGAGCCACCAGCAGCCCCGAGCCACCTCGCCCAGGTGTCCTGCCCTACGAGGCTGGGCTCCTGCTCCTCCTCAGCACCACCACCGCACCAAACCACCACCGGCAGCAGGAGGGGAAGGCAAGGGAAGGGGGAGTTACCTTGTTTTTGACCCCGCAGTGGCAGCAGACAGTCCACAGGTACTTGAGGGTCCTCCACAGCAGGATGATAAACAGTCCCCCAAAGAAAGTAACCATGGATGAGGCGAGGAAAGCCCACCACATGCGCTGTCCGCGGCTATCGCAGGGCACCTCCATGGTCACCGGGATGATGAGCGCATCCATCTTGGGCACATTGACGGGGGAGGAGGACGAGTCTGTGTTGAGATTGTTGGCGTTGATATTGTTACTCATTCTAATGCCGCTGCCGCTGCCGCCCGGGTAGGAGCCGCCGCCGCTGCCATTTGCCATAGCTAACAGCGAGCCGGGCGCGCAGGGGCTTCCGAGAGCTCCTCCCGCCGCCAGCGCCCCCCAAAAAGCCCATCACCAGCCATATTGCTGCTGCTGCCGCCGCTGCTCAGCGGGGAACCATAAGGAGAGTAATAAAAATAAAAAAAGCCCCCAGTCAAAACAAACAAACAACCAAACCAACCAACGAAACAAACAAAAAAAAAAAAAAAAAAAAAAAAAAAAAAAAAAAGCAGGTGAAGAAAAGCGACCGCACAATTCCCGGGTCCCTCTCGGGAGCCGACAGGCCGGTGAATTCCGAGCGTCCTCTTTGTACGGCGAAAATAATATTTAAAAAAATTTAAAATAATAATAAAAATATAGTCTCCTCCTCAGATTCCCACCCCTTCCTTCTCCCGCATACACAGCCCCTACCCCGCCCACCCCCAAAAAAAATCATCCACCACCACCACAAACTGATGCCTCTGAGCGTCTCTCCGAGATACCCAGCGCTGCGACCCCGCTGGCCTCAGCGGGGATCCCTCACTCAGCCTCCGCCGCGGATCCTCCCGGAGGTGGTCTCTTATTATTGTTATTAGTCTTTAACTTGTTATCAGCGATACTCAGTCACCCCCTCCCCGCGCACCCTCCTCCTCCTCCTCCTCTTTCAAGTCCAGCCCCTTCCTCTCTTCTTCCCCCCTCGGTGCCAGCAGCAGCCTCCTGTGGCTCCTAATTCATCCTCCGCTGGCCCATCTGTGCGTGCGCTGCCGCTGCCGCCGCCTCCTCGCCCATCCTTCGGGAGCTCCCTCCAGGGCCCGGCTGTCGCTCAGGCTGTTGCTCCCACACGCGCAGCGGCGCCGCCGGCTCCCGCCCCTCCCTCTGTGCCGCCGGGGGACGCGACGGCCCCGCGCCCGCAGCCGCGGCCGCTCCGGGAGCGCATCAAAGGCCCCGCGGGCCGGGGGTGCCGGGGGGGCCGGGGGTGCCGCGCTGCCGCTGCCGCCGGGGTGAGGGCGCCGGCTCAGGCGGGCTCCCGGCGCCCCATGGGCAGCGCTCCCCGCTCCGCGCCCGCTCGGTCCGGCTCGCGGCGCCGCCGAAGCGCCGAGCGCCCGCTCCGGAGGGGACGGCGAGCCGGGAGCGGGGGCTGTGTGCCGAGACGGGCGCTTCACAGGTGGCGGCGAGGCGGTGCCCGGCCGCGCCGGGGAGCTGCCGGTCCAACAAGTCCCGCCGGCCCTGGCGCGTCCATCGCCGCCGCGCCGCGCTCTCCGCAGCCGCGGTGGGGCGGGGGCAGGCGGCAGCGGCCCCCCCGCGCCGGCCGTGCGCGGGGCCGGTTCGGAGGATGTCATGACGCAGCGGCCAACGCACGGCGCAGTCACGGCCCCGGCCCCCGCAGCCCCGCCGGGCCCCCGCGCCCATCGCCCGCATCCCGCGCAGCGCGGCACCGCGGAGAGCGAGACCCCTCCGCAAGGGCGTCCTCGGGGGCGGCGGGCCCGGGGCTGCAGCCGGGGGGCAGCGGGGGAGGGAGGGAGGAGGGAGCGGGGCGCGCTCGGGGCTCGCAGGAGGCGGTTGAGCTGCAGCAGCAGGTGCCCGGGGATGCGCACGGCGCGGGAGGGGGAGCTGGCATGGAAACGCGCTAAGGGAGCGTGAAATAAACATCGGGGACCGCGGCGTGGGTTTTTCCGCTGAAGGCATTCGTGGCTTGTCTTTAATTGACACGGGCAAGTACTGCAAATGCTCCGCAAACACGCCGTAAATTGCCGCACATCCCAAGAACATTCCTGAATTTAACCCTTAGGAATGTAAATAACAATATAAAATGACACCTTTGGTGAGGATGGGGGTGAAAGGGGCAGCCAGCAAGAAAATCTGGATAGTCATCTCCTACTTATTTTTCAGATTCACGTTGAAAAGCGGAGAAATTTATATGTCTATGTGTGTATTCATTTATACATAAATCAAAATCTCTGTTTGGCACATGGTCTTTTCACTGGGTTGTCTGTACAAAGTATTATGCAGATCCTCTTGACATCTTTCCAAGGGTAAAATACAGCAGGCTTTGTGTGCGTGACATTCCCCCATCTTATCTAGTTGCTATACCAGCAGAGAACCACCATTATGAAATAGTAATCTCTTAACCTTTAGTAGTAGTAGTTTCTGTTTCTGCATCTGCCAGGGGCTTGTTTGTTTTTGTTTTCTACTTAAGTGAAGGTAATGAGATTTTATGAGTTCCCAAAGCTTTTTATGGGGCTCTCTAACCCTCTCACCCCCACTTTTATCATGCAATAACACCACTGTTTGTCTGACTCTGAGTTTATCATGATGTCTCTTTCCAGTCTGTTCCTTCAAGAGAAGGCTTCCTTTTTCCAGAAGGGTTTAATAGGGGCCTCTGAATAGAGAAGGTATTAGATAACGCTATGGAAAGGTATACAGGTAAAAGAAATGCCATATTACTTTTTCCCAGAGAAAAACATTCAGTTACATAGCAGACCTGAAGCAGGCCATTCCTAGGAAACTATTTGGTTGAGAATTTCTAGTGAAGAAAACTCATCAGATTGAAAAGAAACTGCCTGTCACAGCTGCCACATGCAAGCCCAGACTGCACTGCCACAGCTGCTGCCCCCTCCCGTGGCTTTTCTTTGCCAACCCTCCCCGCAGCTAGACTGCAAAGTGTTGCCATGACAGGATCACACAACCTTGGGTGCTGGGCTCAGAACCTGGTCCTCGTGGTCATTGCTCGGCATTCCTGCGATGAGCACCCTTTTCACAGCTGCACACATGCCTAGGGATCCTTTTATCCATCAGCAAACACCAGGAGTGGAACAAGGGCAGGAGCATCGTAACACAGGCACTTGATGTCTGATCTTCAGAAGTGCTGGGTACTTACAGGCACTCTTACAGCTAATAGAAACTACAACCCTGTGCACCTTGAAAGATGAGGACAATGAAGAGCAGCTGCACAGCATATCCCAGGGAAGGCTTTTGCATGGTGGGATTTCTTCCATACTCTGGTCTGGCAGATAACAAGAGCCGAGTCTCTGAAGCCATGGCTGTGACATACATCCCCTCTTGCTTTGTTTGAGAGGGCCCAGAAGATTTGACAGAGAGGCTGGAGTCTGAAAATACATTTTCTTGCTTTATACATTCAGAAGGTATGAGTTAAAAAGTATTTCTTATACTCAACACTGCTGCGGCTGAGCAGGGCAGACACTGTTTCCATGAGCACTCCAGATGCAAACAGGATCATTAGGCACCTCTAAAATATCATCCCATAATACTGTACCCCCACATACCCAAGATGGTCCTAAAGAAAAACCCTGACTAAAGCAAAGCAAGTGAACCACAAAATGTAGTCTGTATGTTCAAATAATTTGATTCAAACTTGTTCACACAGAGTTTACTTGTAGATTTGGACAAAGATAGTAGATTTATTGTGATCACTTGTTAAAGGCTGCTTTTAAGTTCTGGTACTCAAAACCAACCAACCAACGCATACAGTAGGAGTCCTAGTATATAAATTTCACTCTATATATCCAGGGGAAAACCTTTTGTTTTATCCGTATAAACAAAACTTTTATTTACATAAATATGGCTCAGTTCTACAAATATTTACTGTGAAACTCACACTGAAAAGTAAATATTGATATCAAGTGGGGAGACTTACCTTACCAGTTGAAAGTTTCCTTACTAGGAAATGTCTGCAAAAGACAAAGCAAAGTAGGTAACTTTGAATTTTGTTCACCTATTCATAGGCACAGGTAAAAATGATCCTTAAATGAATATCCCTTCCATTAAATCCCATTTGAGCTTACTCCTTTATGAATAAAGAAAGGCCAGCTTTCCAGTGCAGGCTCTGTAAAGCAGAGTTTGAGAAAGCCCCCTGGGGCTGTATGCTACATTTACTGAGGCAACAACTCCATTTCATGTTGCCTTCAGACTAAACAAGATTTTCAAGCTCTGCATCCTGGAGAGATCTATTCCAAACAAACAGAAAACTTCAATGGATTTGTTTTCAGATTAGTTGTCTGTTTAATATTTCAATTCAAGAGCTCAAAATTTACTTGGTTAGCAGTACTATTTACAGAACAAAACAAACGCTGTGCTGACCTGTGTTTTTCCTGTTCTTACCATGTAGCATAGTCCTGGACACAATCATGCCTACTCAATGTAATTCTGGAGGATTTGGTTCCAGAAAGGAGTGTTTTAGCAGCAAGGGAATGACTCCTCTTTATGTAAAACAGTTCCCTCTTGTGGATATTCTGTGCAGAGTATCACAGAAGTATTTAAAATATTCATCAGTCCTGGATCTTTGCAATTAAAACCCCCAACTCTGTTCATGAATTCTCCAAACCCCTTGGCATTCTTGGTTTTAGCAATTACATATGTGAGGAAGAACAAGCTATTGCATTTAATCATAATACAACTTGCCCAATTCCACATTATCAATAACAAATTATTTAATAAAGTGCAATAAACACAACAAGCTAAATAAAGTTGCATAACTGTACCTATATGAATCAAGTGCAAATCACAGTGGGGCTTTTTATTTTGCTTATATGAGGAAACTTTCCACACATTCCATTAAGAGAAACCATGATTAAAAAACAAGGAAAAGATAAACTATTTAAAGAAAAGAGACAGTAATGGCAAAGCAGTCAGGGTTTCTAAGGATCCACGTACTAAGTACAGAAGACAAAGAAACTCTGGAATGATAAATCTTTCAATTAAAACTAGAGTCCAGGCAAGTGGCACAGCTTCCCTGGTGACACAATATTGCACCAGGGATTAATTTGGCATGGCAGTTAGGGGAAAAGAAAAAACCAACACATGAATGGAGTAACAGTGTGAAGATTTATGTGTTCTCTAAATGATGACTACATAATACAAAGAATAAATTTTTTCTTGAGAAGAATAATGTGAAAGAATAAATGTGTACTCCCCAGTTCTTCCTGAAGGCATATATGGTCTAACTGAATCCAGGTAAATGATAGAAAACCTTTGCATGTTATTATCTTGAGGGAAATTATATTAAAAAAGGCTGAAAGCCTTTATATATACCCTAAACTTGTTTAGCACAATGTATTTGTTAAATGGTTATATATAAAACCTTCCTAAACCTTGATTTAAGGTACAGAGTAAATGTTAAAGAGGCAGCTTAAGGGTCAGTAAAGGTATATACATTCCAAGGTTAAAAAAAAACCCAGAGTTCCAGTGGTTTGTGTCCAACAGCCTCCTTCACATTTTTGTTATCCCTGTAGAATACACCATTGGGTTTTATGTAACATCAGTAGCTGTGGCAGGGCAAGCACTTACACACAGAAATAGCATAAAATAATAATAAAAAGTACTTCTAGTCAGGAGGCTAGGTTTGTCTTTCTGAGGTCAGTGGGGC